GGGCTGCATGTTCCCCGCTTGTCTATGGGAGAGTGCTTTTATGGAAGAAAAGGAGAGAAGAAATAAAGAAAAAGAGAAAGAAAAGAAATAAGAAATAAAGAAATAGAAAAGAAAGAGATGAAAGGAAAAGGTAGAAAAGGAAAGAGAGAGAGAGAGAGAGAGAAGTTAAACCGAGAGATAAGAGAATGGGAGCCAGAGAGAAGGATGGGAGACGGCAACCAAGTTCAGTTGACGGATTTCCGTGTGGTTTTCAAGTGAGTTCTTAAAAGAAATTTTTATTATTCTCAATTTAGTTATATCTTAGATCATTTTAATCAGTTTAAATTTTTAGTTTAAGTACTGTTTTCATGATATTAGGGAATGAACTATACCAGTTTATATTAATTTTTTAATTTAATTAATTCATATTAATTCTACTGAGAAAATGACTTAGTTAGTTTAGTAAAAATAAGGCTGAGTTAACATTAGAATTTGACAAAATCCCAATCTAGAAGTTCACCGACTCACTTACGGATTATTTTTCATAAAAAAATAACTATAACTCCGTTTGTGAACGTGAGCATACCCTAGTACACCTAGCTTGACAATGAGTATATAATAATATTTAAAAATTTTGAGAGTACATGTGTAGTAGAAATTTTGACCGTAAATAAATAGGGTAGAAAATAACCTAATTAGGAATACATCTCATATATGCACTAATATATTCATGCATTCATATACAGTTTTGGCATTTTAATTGATAGTGTATATGGTTATATTTTAAGAGAAATATATCAGCCGGTCAGTAAGGTCAACAGGACTGAGTTTGAGCACACACAATATCAACAGAGGTGAGTGGTCTTTTTCCTAAATTCAGGATTTTCCTAAAATAATAAAATTAATAATTTCTTACTAATAAATGTTTTATTTCAAAATCAAAAGTTTTATTTTGAAATGTTTTTATTTATATGTTATGATTATTTTGCTATGTGAAATAGAAACAGGAATCTCATTTTTATGTCGTATGTTATATATGTGAATGTTTGCAATTCACCTGGATAATTCGCTGGGTAGTCATGTCAGTGTGGCAGTACTACATGATTTATTTGCCTGGTGGGGCCTTACGATACCAACAAACTATGTGTGTCCGTTCATAGGGGTGGTGTCTTATGAAACGAGTCCATGGCCAGTAGCATCCATTAGATTCTTATTATGTTATATTTATGTTTACGTGCACGTCAAACTTTATATTTATTTATGGAGCTGTTATATTTTTGCTTCCATCTTTAGCTCATTTACGATATTTTTGCTATAGTTGGATCTACAGGCTCAACGGATAAATTAGCTTTATTTTTAGATCATGATTAGTAAAATGATATCTCACGATATGATATTCTATATCAGTTATACCAGTTTACGAACTACTTTTATTTATAGTATTGTGCAACATATTCCTATTTCCCTTATTTTAATTTGAAGACCATTAATTAGAACGCAAGTCTTACCACTTATTTATTTTTCAGGTTTTAACAGTAGAGACTTGTATGTACATCACGTGCATCCAACACAGCAGCATTTTGAGTCTAGAGAGGTTGGGCTCCACTTATATTAATAGTAACTGGTTTGGGTTATTGTTTGGGGAGTGAAAGTTAAATAGTTGCATTATATGTAGATTTTATTTTGAAAAAGAGAAGTTACATAAGGTAATTATGTTTTTCAGTAATGATAGTGACTTAATTTTTTAGTTATATTATGTTATCAGTTATTTGGATGTGAGTTATATAGAGGACTTAGTAGGTACGATAGTTGAATAAGGTTTAACCTTCTCCGGTGAATTCCGGGTATCGGAGGTTACTAAACCTATTCTACTGTCACGCCTTGCTCGAGTTACAGGGTGGGGTGTGACAATACTTGTATTAGAGATGTGTCTATATTTGTTTATGAGTGTTAATAATAAAGCATTTGCTTTTAGTTTTGGAGTAGTTTGGGTTCCGCAAATGTTATGTTAGAAATATGATTATATTACTATAATTACAGGTTGAACTTAGATAGAAGGAGTTTAGCAATCGGCATGCTGTCGGATTTCCGTCCGGTGGGTGTTGGTTGTTGCCCTGACTGTCGCGCCTCGCCGAGTGTTTAGATAGGCGGGGTGTGACAAAAATAAAACATAATAAAATAAAAATTATATAATAATAAAAATTAATAAAATTAAATTATCAAAAGTTAGATTTTAAAATTTTTAAAAATAAATTAAATAATATTTTAATTTTTAATTAGATAAATAATCAAATTGTACAAAAATTTGGTTGATTTCTTCTATTTTTAACAAAATATTAAACAATCATTAATTAACATTTAGTTTAAAAAAAGTGTTTTTTTTTTATTTTGAAAAGACAACTAAATATTATTAATATAAACCTAGAAAGAGGAAAGCGCTTCTTAATCTAAAATAAATTAGTTGTTTATTAAATACATAAAATTTTATATTCAATCCTGACAACAATGGCAAATATTTTTGATAACAGAGACAAGAACATATATTTTTTATATTTTCACCCACCAATCATTCATAATAAAAAATTGCCTTCAACTTTATAAAATTAACTATTGAGGAAGATGACAAAATAAAATTGGTTAAAAAATTATTAAATTATTTTTATAAATCATATAACTTTAACATTCAACAATTAAATAATTATTTTAATTCAATATGTAATTTTTTTATAATAGGAGTTATCATTATCCAAAATTAAAAGTTTTTCATTGATATTCTTTGTTATTTTTTTCTTATCTTTTATGAGATTTTTTTAAAATTATGTTTCAACTATCTTTTCTTATATATAATACTAGCATTTGAGTCCGTGCCCGATAGTACTAAGTAGAGCGTAGTCTTTACTTTACATAGGGTACTAAGTACATGTATGTGTGTATATACATATATATATATATATATATTTTGTAGATTACAAAAAAATTTACATCCACCACACAAGCGATTATTTGAGTTGACAAATGTTATCTCTATAATAAATGGTATAAAAATTTTACACTTCAAAATATCTTTTCACCAGATAACAAGAAATTGAAATTTAAGGCTCTGTTTTCTATTTTTTGTTTAGCAAAATTGTTTTACAAAAGACTTTTTGAAAGTGTAATTCAACAATAAACAAATTATTTTAAGAGTACATATACTTCTTTTTTTCTCCCCAAAAAGTCTGATTCTAACATTTGTTTTCCCCTTTTCCCTCCTCACCTGGTTGCCGCCGATGCTATTATTACTGCCACCCCCACAACTCCCTCCATATTTTTCATTAATTTGATTTAATTCTTCAAATAAAAGGAACAAAATGATATTATTTAATTTAAAATATTTACAAATTAAATTAATTTTTTAATTGGATAATAATTTGTCCCTCATAATTACTTCTGACATAAAATTATCACGTATAAAGGGAAATAGAAAGTGGGTAAATCTTTTTAGTATCGTATTATAATAGGTAAAAAAAAAAAAAATTGGTCAAGAAGAACATTATAACTAGCGAATAGGTTGGTCGAATTATGCTTTATTTAATGAAGTAATTTACATGTTTGCCCTTCTCATTCCATGCCTTTAAAATGCCCCTAAAGAGGCAGATGGCCACCGTGCTTGAAGAAGCTTATTTTGGTTGGAGTTGGTTATGGCTTGTGTCTCTGAAGAAGATTTCTTTCATATTGGTAAGGACTCTTTTTTTCTGAAATAATTATTGAATTTTTGTGATTTTATTTATTTATACATATATAGAGATAGTTTCGTACACACAATTTTTTGGTTTTTGTTAATTATTTAATTTTTATTCATGATTCCACGGTTATCATGTGACCATGATTGAGAAAATCGCTTCCCAAAAGTGTGGTTATAGAAGTATCTCAACAGTGATTATGGGTTCACTTGGATCAATTTTTTTTTTTAAAAGTACTTTTAAGATATTGATTTTTTGTCAGAGGTTTTTATAAAAAATAAAATTATTCTACACTTAAATACAATTACGAAAAATAATTTTTACTTTTAAAAGTGTTTTTGAATATTTTTTAAATTTATTTGTACTAATTTTGAAAATAATTTAAAAATTGATTTTCTTGAATTTTATTTTTTAAAAAATTTATTCAAATACTCTAAAATATTTTAGAAGTATTTTTTTAAAAAAATTATTTTTATAAAAAAATTAAACGGCCAAACTCTATAAGTTATGTATACTTGTAAAAAAATAGAAAATAATTTTTAAAAGTATTTTTTACTCTAAATAATTGATAAATATAATAATTCTTATTTTTAAAATTATTTATAAAAATAAGTCGCTCAAAAATATTTTAATGACATAAAGGAAGTGGATTATTAAAATCGAAAAATTAACTTTTTTTGAACAAAACAACCCGTTTTTTATTTAGTTTTTTTGCAACATGAACCAAATAAAATAATTTTTTGGTTAACCTTTTTCTAATAAAAGTTAACTGTCAAGGCTGTTGCCGCGGGTAAAAATTATTTATCGGGAGTCATCGAACCACTTTCAATAACCCTACGCGGCCGCGCGAATAGCCACTAGACTTCCGTTCTGTCGATAAATAGAATCGTGAATCATCCTACCACGTTCAATCCGCCACTCCATACCTCCGCACGTTGAGCGGTTTGCAAGAGAGAGAAAAGAGTAAGTTCAGCGCTGATGCAGCAGAAGGGGAAATCTCATAACCGTAGATCCAGGACATTCTCCAGATCTCGCGTTGCCGTTGAGGGTTGTTAGCGAGCCTCATTTTCTCAATCTCCCATCGAAACTACATAATTACTTTTACTTCTCACGACCAATCGCTTTGCATTTGAAATTCCTTATTCTTTCGCGTTCGCGAACTCTGAGAGTGAGAAGAGTGAACAATGGCAGCCCAAGGTAAGGCTCTTGCTTCTCTCTGTTTCTGTGCCTTTGTACAAATTGTGCAAATATCTTCCTAGACTTGCTTGCTGCTTGTGGAAGATGTCTGCAATGTGATAAATGTTCTGTTCGGATTTTGTAGGCGAAGAACGTGAAATGCAGAAGAGCTACTGGATGGAGCACTCTGCTGATCTCAGTGTCGAGGCTATGATGCTCGATTCCAAAGCCTTTGATCTTGACAGAGAAGAGAGGCCTGAAGTAATTTCTCCCTCCCTCTGAAACGCCTTGTTTCGGACTGTCTGTATATGGCAGTTCTTTTTCCATGCATGTTTACTTAATTCTTTTTTTTTTTTTTTTTTGGCGAGCATTGTGTAGACTTGGCCATTTCTGCATTATACTAAGTTGCTAGTATTGATGTATAAAATTCTTACTAATCGCAACTAACTATATGTACTAGCCATAACTTATGGTTTTGATTGGATGATTAAGAATCTCATTATTGTAATCATGCGTCTTAAATGCAACGGTATTTACCTCATGGGATGCAACTTGAGTTACACCTGAAATTGAAAGTTCTGTGATGTTCGGTCAAGACTGCGTGTAAAACTGGAAGTAATTTGTGATTTTAACTTCTTTTGCTTACAAGAACTGTGTCTGTCTTGTGTATTTTTCTCGTCACTTGTATAGCTGACTAAGGCTATTTCATTGTGTTCTTGGATCTTAAATTTCATGCTTTTACCTGATAGCCATCTCAGCTATTTAATGTTTGAAATATGCTGTTAATATTGACTAGATTGAGGTCTCAGCATTGTCCTTCTTAAAACTTGCCTTCTTGGTTTATATCATTTAGATCTGTCTTACAAGCAGCGGCTTTGGATGTTTTCTTTTAGTTATGCCATCCACTAGGTTTTGTGAGAGATGTTCAGATGAACTGATTGCTTGATTTCAAATTTCCTTGGTAAATAATATAATATTGGCCTTTAGTAAATAGTATCAGTTTGCTGCTATGTAGCTCTTGCCTGTGTAGAAGTTCAGCTTTTCTGGTTCATTTTAATGGAAATGGAGTTTCAGAATTTTATAACTGTTTGTGTAGTTAATGTGTATTCTACTTAGTAATACTGTACTTCTTTGGCTCTTATTTTCCAAATTTCTGAAGTGTATGACTTTTTCGAACTAAATGAACGTAGGCATACATACAAGTGCAGAGTGATTTTGAACTATTTATAAGTTTTCATTTGACATTTTGTTTAGCAATCTATGCTCTAGGTTTCAGTAAATGCAAATGAACTTATCTGTAATTTATACATGGACCTGGTATTGACCTGCCTCTGCACAACTTTAAAAAATGTTCTTAGATATGGTGTCATTTTCAGAATTCATCTAACTAGTGGCACATTCAGGTACTCTCTCTGCTTCCACCATTTGAAGGAAAAGCAATTCTGGAACTGGGAGCTGGCATTGGACGTTTTACTGGTGAATTAGCTAAAAAGGCCGGTCAAGTTCTAGCCGTGGACTTCATTGAAAACGTGATAAAGAAGGTATTCAGAGCTGAATTTGATGAGGATCATCGGACTATCCATCTTTGTAAACGGGGGAAAGATTTTTCTACTCTAGTTATTCTTTCATACCCCTCCCTGCATCTCCATCTGGTACTGAGTGCGTTATGGTCCTGAATTTTCCATTTTGCAGAATGAGAATGTCAACAGGCATCATAAAAATGTCAAGTTCATGTGTGCTGATGTGACGTCCCCCAATCTTAATTTTCCAGAAGGATCATTTGACCTGATATTCTCCAACTGGCTGCTTATGTATCTTTCTGACAAAGAGGTAGTCATCTTTTTTTCTTTCTACCTACTACTTTATTTGAAGTCCTGATGGCGCTGTGTCCAATTTTAACATGCATTTAGGCAGCGGCTATACTTCTAGTTAATCATGAATGGAACTGACAAGGGAAGCGCTACAAATAATTGTGCAAAAATTGATTTGCCCACTTATGCATCTCAGAGAAACCACATCTTGATTCAGTTTTAGAGACTATTTCAAGCCACGCTGCAATAAATGTTTTGATTGTTGGCCTTCTAGAGATATTAACATTGCACTTTCAAGAAATCTGGTTTTTTCCTCTTCCTTTGTTTTTTAACCTTTTCATGGTTGTTATATTGTCATTCTTTCATGGATAGCTTCAGCTTCAAATTTCTGTTCCAAGTATTTTCCAACTTACCATACATTTTTCAGTCTTAATATCTCCAGTCACAATTTAGTTGACATATAATAAGAGTAGTTTTGATTATTTACTCAAGAATATACCTGAGTTGAGAACTTGCTGCCCTTTTTATGTCATTATTTACAGTGCTGCTTGCCTTGGGATCCTGGCAGCTAGAAGTTATTTTTTTTAAAAAATTAAATTGGCTGGCTTAATCATCAAATTAACTCATCCATTTCATTTCATATTAGGTTGAAAATCTTGCAGAACGAATGGTCAAATGGCTGAAAGATGGTGGGTTTATTTTCTTCAGAGAATCATGTTTCCATCAATCTGGAGACTCTAAGAGAAAGAATAATCCAACTCATTACCGAGAGCCAAGATATTATACAAAGGTTTATTATGATAAATTTTATTCCCTTTTCTCTGTTTGTTGTTTTCATTTTATTTTCAGGATTGCTACTTCTGGCTTGTCTGTAGTGATTTATTACTGTTCAGGTGTCTGCTAAGTTATTAAATTAATTGCTTCCCAACGAGGGTAGAACAACAATGCTATTGTGAAACATAGACTATTTTCTTATGCACAAAGATGAAGTTTAATTTGCTATAAAAATTTTAGATGTGTTTAGCTGGTTGCCATGAAATTTAGTTGAGTTTTTTAAGCTCCATGTGGGTTACCTGGTTGTCTCTTCATGCTGGGAGTAGCACGGTTCAAACACTACATGCCTTGCCCTTTCCTGAGCTTATACAGTAAGGATCAGAAGGTCATATTTGACTAAAGTTAGATCATGACTTTCATGTTACTACCAATATTCAATACACAACTTGCTTGTGTTTCTCCTTAATCAGAAAATAAACAGTTTTGTTGCATTTGTTTTGGCAGCTTAAAGATACGGAATGAAGTGTCAACTGGCAATCTGTTGCAGAAACTATGCTAGTTGTTTTACATGTTTAATATATATTGGATTTCAGGTCTTCAAGGAGTGCCTTCTGCGTGATGGCTCTGGGAAATCCTTTGAACTCTCCCTTATTGGCTGCAAATGTATTGGAGCTTATGTGAGGAACAAGAAAAACCAAAATCAGGTTATATGTTGGCTGTTTGTCCTCTAGTTCTTGATTACCAAATGTTTGAACATGCTAGTTAAATGATTGTATGATGCAGGTCTGCTGGACATGGCAGAAAGTCCGTTCTGAGGATGATAGGGGGTTCCAACGCTTTTTGGACAATGTCCAGTATAAATGTAATGGAATACTACGATATGAACGTGTCTTTGGACAGGGTTTTGTTAGCACAGGAGGGATTGGTATGTCATGATGCCCAAGTGACTTCTTTGTTGTTTGTTTCATAGAATTTGGCAACAAAGTAGTATGAAGTATATAAATGTCTATATCTATCTTTACGAGTGTGCATGTGTGGATGGGGAGAGAGAGAGAGAGGTACACTCTAGCTATGCTACATTTTACACCAGAAAAAGGCTAATTCTGCTGAAGCCTCATCCTATCAACATATGTGCACATTATCAACACTGCTACCACAATATTAGCTTGGGTGGTACAGAACCCCACTGTTAGGGCTGTGGTCTCTTGTTCAAATCTCTCTACTCCAATTATTATAGTACTTTATAAGGACCAAAAATTAAAAAACTGTCAGGACATTTATTGTTGTGAGTTTTTACATGCAGAGATTAGTTTTTTTGCTTTATTTTTGTCTTTTAAATATGTTTTGACAGTAATTTGTCGGTTATGACAACTTTGTGTGAGTTTCTTGCTCAAAATGATATTTTCTTTTGACCAGAGACAACAAAAGAATTTGTAGCAAAGCTTGACCTTAAGCCTGGACAGAAAGTCCTGGATGTGGGCTGTGGCATTGGTGGAGGTGATTTTTATATGGCTGAGAACTTTGATGTTCATGTTGTTGGCATTGACCTTTCTATAAATATGATTTCTTTTGCTCTGGAACGGGCAATTGGGTTAAGTTGTTCGGTTGAATTTGAGGTTGCTGATTGCACCAAGAAAACATATCCAGACAACACATTTGATGTGATCTACAGCCGAGACACTATTCTCCACATTCAGGTACTGTGCTTATCCCTCGTGGACATGTTTGTATTTTTGTGGTCTTTTTTAATAATTTTTAATTGCCAGATAGCTTACCCTTTTCTTTTATTTTTTTCCTCTTGGGTTAGAATCTACTTCTGTTTTAGTTTGAAGTTTTATTATTTTCTGATTTTTTTTTTATTTCCCCATTGTTTCTGTGCCGCTGCTCCTTTAGGATAAACCTGCATTGTTCAAAATGTTCTTCAAATGGTTGAAACCAGGAGGAAAAGTTCTTATTAGTGACTACTGCAAGAGTGCTAAACCTCCATCATCAGAGTTTGCAGAATATATCAAGCAAAGAGGTTATGACCTACACAGTGTGGAAGCATATGGCCAGGTATAATATACACAAGAAACTAGTTTCTTTGTTTTTAACGAGGATCCTGGCACAACAACCTTTCTGCTGACTTCTGTTTCCTCTACAGATGCTTAAAGACGCTGGTTTTGGCAAGGTCATTGCTGAGGATCGAACAGATCAGGTTGTTATTTAGTTTTAAGTTTTCCTTGTAAATGCATAATATATATGATTACATTTGTAAAGGAGTTCTCATTATACAATCAATTTCTATGCCAGTTCATGACAGTTCTGCAGAGGGAACTGGATGCAGTGGAGAAGGAGAAGAAAGCATTCATTACAGACTTCTCTGAAGTACGTGCATCATCATCCTGTATATTTATTTTGTTTTTTATTTTTATTCATTATTTTTTTTGGAGGTGGTTTTTACTATTCGAGTTGCCTGCATTTTAACGCTTTTGTTGGTCTGGGAATGATGTGCAGAAGGATTATGATGATATTGTGGGTGGTTGGAAGGCAAAGCTGGTGAGGAGTTCTGCCGGAGAGCAGAGGTGGGGACTGTTTATTGCAGAGAAAGAATGACGAGATGGGCGAGACTTGCAAAATTTCGTGTTGTGCTAGCCATTGTTATTAGTAATCTTGGGTTCAACTAGGAGCTTGTATGTCGTAGAATAAATTTGGAGTGAAACTAGGTGATGGTCCTTTAGGATCCATGATCATAAACCAGGATCCTTATGAGGTTGAACTGATGTTTTTATTGCAGTCCTGGTGTTGGTGGACGCCCTGTATTTTCTAGTTGAAGTTTGTTCTATTATAATTGCAGTTTGATTTTTTGTGCTTCGGTCTATGGAAGCCAAGTTGTCCTGCTTATAATCCGTCCGTTGATGCATCCACTTAATTTTTTTACCCTTCTTTTTTGGAGGAATGATGGTTTTCAATTTGAAACAATGGGGAATGATACTGCTAATCAAATTTAGTTCTTTTTAAACCGTATATGAAAGGACTGAAGGTAATCCTTTCCTTTCCCCCTCGATCTTATTGATTCTTAATTAATCTGATTTTCTCCGCCCACTCCCCTAAACCTCCCGAATGACACAGCCGGGTAATTCGTTTTCATATATCATATTTATGTTAGTGTCTTAATTCTTGTATTATTAATTATCAAAACTATTAACAATTAACTTTTAGTAAAAATGAGACAGTTTATGTCCCAAAAAAAAAAAATAAAAAGGAAGATCGTGCTCTATTTATGTGGTTTTCTCAGCGTGGTGTAGTGTCCAAGGCCAAGCACTGTGGATATATATAAGATATAGGGTAGCTGTGGATGAAACACAACTTAAAACTAGACATAGATATAGTGAATCCATGGATGATGGCAACAAAAAAACAAACTAAATGATAGAAGTATGTTCTTCTAAATAGAAGAATAAAACTCCAATCAGACAGTCTACAGCCTTAAGGAATGGAAATTAAAGCAGAAACGTTAGAAAATAGTTCATAGATTCATGGCAGCACACAACATGCGGAGCAGCAAATCGGCGGTACACTTTCAGTTACTAACACCACCATCGTTGTCGTCATCGTCATCAACATCAACATCATCATTATCAGCCGTGGCATCCTGGTACTGCTGATACTCGGCAACAAGATCGTTCATATTGCTCTCAGCCTCGGTAAACTCCATCTCATCCATTCCTTCTCCGGTATACCAGTGCAAGAAGGCCTTCCTCCTAAACATGGCAGCAAACTGATCACTCACCCTCCTGAACATCTCCTGAATGGAAGTAGAGTTGCCAATGAAAGTGGAAGCCATGGACAGGCCTCTAGGAGGGATATCGCAGACGCTAGACTTGACGTTGTTGGGTATCCACTCCACGAAGTAGGAAGAGTTTCTGCTCTGGACGTTGATCATCTGTTCGTCCACTTCCTTCGTGCTCATCTTACCTCGGAAAGTGCAGAGGCGGTGAGGTAGCGTCCGTGCCTGGGATCCGCGGCGCACATCATGTTCTTGGCGTCCCACATCTGCTGAGTTAACTCGGTCACTGATAGTGCTCTGTATTGCTGGGAGCCTCTGGAGGTCAGGGGTGCAAATCCCACCATGAAGAAGTGGAGCCTGGGGAAAGGGACGAGGTTCACCGCCAGCTTCCTAAGATCCGAGTTGAGTTGACCCGGGAATCGGAGGCAGCATGTCACTCCACTCATTGTTGCTGAAATCAGGTGGTTCAGATCTCCAACTGCACCCATCCCACGCATGCCCAGTATAATTAATTAAAAATATTTTTCTCATTTTATCCCATTTGTAAAACCAATCAATTACTATCTCTGATTTATCAAATATATGATTTAATAATTTACTCGGTAAAATGATTATAGTTGAGGGGTTAAAGAGTAATTTGATTTAAATTTAGTTATTATATAAAATTAAAATTACAAGTTGCTTACAGGAAGGGGTGGACAGCTTGAGAGTACGGAAGCAAATGTCGTAGAGGGCTTCGTTGTCCAGGACCATGCATTCGTCGGCGTTCTCCACCAGCTGATGAATAGAGAGGGTGGCGTTGTAAGGCTCCACAACAGTGTCCGAAACCTTTGGAGAAGGGAAAACCGAGAAAGTTAGCATCATCCGGTCCGGGTACTCTTCCCTTATCTTTGAAATCAGAAGGGTCCCCATTCCTGAACCGGTTCCTCCTCCAAGTGAATGACATACTTGAAACCCTACATGCAACCCATCAATGGATTGAGTTGGAAAATGAAGAAACTACAAAGACCAAATCAAATCTCGATAAAACTACCAGGATCAGAAGTATAATTTGCCCAAAATAGAGGTTTAAATATGTAATTAAAAAGTTGAGACCTTGCAAGCAGTCACAGTTCTCGGCTTCTTTCCGAACAACGTCGAGAACAGAATCAATCAGCTCAGCGCCTTCAGTGTAATGGCCCTTGGCCCAATTGTTGCCGGCCCCTGACTGCCCGAAAACAAAGTTGTCGGGCCTAAAAATCTGGCCATACGGACCGGTTCGGATGCTGTCCATGGTTCCCGGCTCCAGATCCATGAGCACGGCCCTTGGGACGTACCGCCCGCCACTCGCCTCGTTGAAGTAAACATTCACCCTCTCCAGCTGCAGCTCCGAGTTACCCGTGTAGTGGCCTACGGGTCAATTCCGTGCTCGTCGCAAACAACCTCCCAGAACTTTGACCCGATTTGGTTTCCGCATTGCCCTCCCTGAATGTGTAGAATCTCTCTCATTCTGAAACTAGTTTCGAGAGCTCTGAAACTTCGTCAATCGAGTGAGGCGGGAAGAAGTAACCACTCTTACTGCCTCATATAATACATTACCACTCTTAAGTCGGCCTACAAAATGGTTCTGGGTCGGCCATTGATGGCGATCTGTTAAAAATTCAAAATATAAATGACAAAATAAGTGGTGGTGGTTGTATTGATCCAAGGGTGGAGAGGCGTCCGCCTTGCCGGAGAGATGAGGTGATGTTGGTTTGCCATTTGTGGGTGTGCGGCATGGCCGGCTTAATTGGCTTCCACTGCTGTTTCTTCATGGTATTGATGAAAATATAGAACACTTCACGTCACATCTACATGCAAACAAAACTAGCACTAGTGTGCTCGTCACACCTTATTTGATTTTGAGCGACGGAGGTCTTAATAATCAGGAGTTCAAATTCTAATTACGACTGCAAATGAGTTGGATTTTAATTCGAATTCGATTCAAATTTTAAGTTCTTTAGTTGATTAAAATGTCTTATCAATTAAATTTGATTATAAATATCCGTAATTTAAAATAAGTAAATCGGATATAAAATTAAGTAATCTGATCCATTAAAAATTCAAATTCGAATATATTTAATAATATTTTTTATTTAATTAATAATCATATATATATTAATAAATATTTTTATATATAATGCAATATATGTGATATTATAGTTAATAATGCACTATTTTGTATTTGTAAGACATTTTATTTAATAGAATAATATATATTTTTTCTAAATTATTCAAAAATATTCTTCTACTTTTCTTAATTATAGTTTTTCATTAGATCTTGTATTTAATAATTAATTATTTTTAAAATTTTATGAAGCAGTTAAATAAATTGATTACAAAATTTTCTAAGTTCTAACTATAATATAAATAAAATTTGATAATTTTATAGAGTACTGAAATTTTATCATAATTTTTGTAATATATTACATAATAAAAGTTTTTCTTAATCATTCATAAATAGTAATTTATTTATGAATTTTATTTATATTTTAATAAAATCAAAATAATTATATATAAATTTTACATGAATTTTTATTATTCATAAATAATAATTTATTTGATTTTATGTGTTTTTTACTTATTAATTGTTTGATTTTAATTATTATTAATTGTTATTCGAATCGGATTTTTTATTCAAGTTTCGAATTTTTATCGGATTTAGATATGATGGTTTTAAATAAAAATCCTATAGAATTTGGGTCGAATTTAGATATATACATTAGTAATCAGATTCGAATTTAAATTTGAATTTGAATCATCCTGATTTGATCCGAATATAATGCGTTTATGTACCTAAGGTTCTAATAGTTATATCTTTTTTTTTTTTTACCTTCCGTTATTTGTATAAAAATTGTGTGGCAGATACTTTTACTTAATTTCATCCACTTTCAGTGATTTTTATTTTTTAATAATTTTTAAAAATTTTAATTATCTATTTTCGTTAATTTTTAGTTAGTTTTTATTTTGAAAATATATGAAATGATTTAAAAATTATTATAATTAATTTACAGAGATATGCATGTTACATCAAATCAATTGGTCCATATCGTTGATTACTAGGCAGTCGTGTCGCGTTTCCAACAGACGAGACTAACAAGATGCATGGCCTGATCGTCTAGGTTTAGAAATGATCCAAATGGCTCGAGTAACATCTCTCTCTCTCTCTCTCTCTCTGTGTAACAAACATGCAAATAACTTCCCCCTGATCTCTCATCAAGCCGCCCATTTCTCTGTCTGTGTTTGAATTTCATTTGAAGCTGAAATCAATTCGAGAATATTATTCGTCACCAATGGAGACAAAACGAAGCGTGTACCTGCAGGATATGGACCAAGTGAGGAAAGTGTTCAACAAGTTCGATGCGGATGGAAGCGGCACCATATCGCTGACGGAGCTGATCGACGTGCTGAAGGCCCTGGGATCCTACACGTCCGACGACGAGGTGAAACGAATGATGGAGGAGATCGACACCGATCACGACGGCCTTATCAACTGGGAAGAGTTCTCCAGTTTCTGCAAAAGTTCCGATGAAGACAGCAGCAGGGCCGAAGAAGACCTCAAGGAGGCCTTCGACCTCTACGATCAGGACAAGGATGGTAATATCTCCTCCACCGAGCTCCACCAGATCCTGAACCGGCTCGGCGAGAAGTGCTCCGTTCAGGATTGTACCAAAATGATCCAGTCTGTTGACTCCGATGGCGATGGTTTCGTCAGCTTTCAGGAATTTAAGATTATGATGAGCAGATCCTCCCAGCCTGACGCCTAATCAACGCCTCGTCAAAATCTTCTTACTCCTCTCAGAATTCGTAAGGTATGTGCAGCTACTGTACGTATAATGCAATTATTTGTCATTATTCATCTCTTCCTGATCTCAAAATTTTGACATTCCAATCAAGATTCATGATTCTCTTTCTTTGTTTAATTCCAAGGCTGTATTTAACTAATTATATAACCATTAATATAACATTTTTTTATTAAATTGTATGATTTCAATTCAATATTTAAAGTCGATTTACAATAGTTGTTTCGGTAATTTTTCTTTAGAATTTCTGGAGACAACACTCGGTATGTTTGGATCGAATGTAAGAAAAGAGTGATCTAATTCTCATTATTTCTCATCACTTGTACAATCCAGATATGGTAAATTCATTACATCTCACAATTTTTAATTATTATTATTATTATTATTTTTTGGCAAAATCATTCATGTCAAAAACACATGCGCGAAAACAAGTGTTGCAAACATGATACATTTTGAGAAATGCTAAACATAGAAGTTGAAAGAAGGTGTGATTTAATCTTTGATGCGTAAATAAATGGAGGGAGAATGAAAAATCTAATCTAAGCGGGTGCAATGGAAACCTTGTCAACCTCCACAACATATTCAAGGGTGGCATTGTGGGGGATTAGTACACCAGAACCCAAATCAGTACCCTCCTCCCCGAATCCCAAACTGGGGGGAATTATCACTCTTCTTTTCCCACCTGCTTTCATGGATCTCAACACATATTCTATTCCTTCACACATTCCCTTTGTGTATGGCCTTGACCCCATCACCAGTGCCAATGACTTCTTCTCTCCTTCAAATGTATCCACAAACACTTTCCCTTCAACACTTCCCTTGAGATCAATCACCACCAGGTCTCCTGTCCTTGGGGAAGCGCCTCCTCCTACTCTCAGCTCATAGTAACTTCATGCACCAGCCATTCATCAAAAAATAAAATAAAATCTGATTTTGTTAGTTGCTTTAGTTTCTTTTTGTGTTTTTCTTCCATTTTTTTATTTTCTTTGATATTCAAAAAGGAAAGAGATTGAATTGGTCAAAGTATTTGATGTTTTATTTTTTATAAATATAACTCAGCATTTTTTTATAAGAAAAACTTGGCATGTTTTAAAAACATACCAAATATCATAAAAAGTCTAAAATTTTTTCTTTCATAACAAAATAAAAGTCAGAAATCTAAAACATTTTCAAACAAAAAACTCATCCATCATAAAAATTCAGAAATTTTTCTTTGATAATAATTAAATAAGGACCCAGAAAACTGTGTGAACAGCTCAATTTGAACTTAATTATAGCTAGCTAGACTCTTGGTTAGAGATCAAATAATACCTTATACCATTAGGCAAGACAACCTCTTCTTGCTTCTCCACATCTCTGTAAGTAAAACAGATTTTATGAAACATAAAATTTAAGAGCTGATGCTAAACAAGTCAGAATGGACCCATGATTTGGTACCTTGTACTGGCTTGTTGCTGGGAAACTTCAAAGCGGGTTTTGATTTGCTCGGAGACGACGCCAAAGGCTAGGAAGCCGGCCCAGGCGAGGCCGGCTCCGATCCCGAAACGCCTAGTTAAGGAAGAAGCTATCCAATCTGTGGATTCAACTTTTGTTTTCTGTTGCTTGGGTGTTGCTGGAGAAGGTGGCTGCGGGGAGGTAGAGGAGCTTGTACTGTTTGAAGAAGCGAGGGGTCGAGATGGGGGAGGAGACTGTGCCTGCGACTGCGATTGCGGCGATGGCGGGTTGGAAGGAGGGGAAACTTGCGAAGAAGAAGAAGAAGAAGAAAAACGGTGAGTATTTGTTAATGGATGAGAAAGAAAAGGTGCAGATCGAATAAGGAAGCCATTGACGAGAACGAAGACACTTCCACTGAACTACTATAATCATCTCAATTAAATAAGTATGCAATGGCCACCCATATATCCCCTACCTTATCCTCTTCCGTGCCTAAGGGAAATTAGGGTATTTTGGCAAGGCGGATTTTAAAATTTAAAGTTTTTTTTTTCCGAAAGAAAAATGATTTCAAAGCAAGTGATTTTGTTTTTTTTGAAAAAGAAAAAGGTAATAAAATTCACTGACACTTGGCTTTAAAATTTTTTTTGTCTTAAAAATTTAGAAGTCTCAGCAAAATTTTAAAAACCTTAGATGTCTAAATTTTACTTAAAAATATAGATACTTGTGACTTCAATAATCCAAAATTCTTGGTGGCAATCGGCTTAGGTGGTGGGTCTCTTGTCACTGTTGATCTCTTTCCCCATCTCCCATCCTCCCTGGATAACGGGTTTCTTCCACTCGGGGATTGTTAAATCCTACAATTCAAATTAATTTTCTTATTGATTTTTTGTATTATTCCTTTACATGTCTTCTAAAAATATGGCTGCAAAAGAGGGAAAAATTTTATAAAATTTGATACCCAATTCTCTACGCTCTTCTATACAATAAAATAAAAGGTAAACAATGCATTTAAATTTTAATAAGCGTTATAATCATGCAATGAAAAGTAAATTGCTACAGGGGTGATGCACTAAATATGCCAAAGAACAAAAAATAAAGTCATATCATTTAATTACATAATTGTTGCAAGTAATGCTTTAAATTTGACAAATGACATTGCCTGGAGTAAACTGTAATGTAATTAATATGAATCCGCACAAGTTGCAATCTTTTGGGATTTTTCGTGTGATCATTTTTGGTAAATAAAAAAGAAAATAGCTTTTTAGCTTTGATGAATTAAATAGTTTAGATTTGGTAAACTAAATTTAAAAATCCACCAACTAATTCTTTATTCAGAAAATAATGTTTAAAAAATGTGCAACTTTTTTTTTTTGGTCGTCAAACATGGTTAAAGATATCTAATTAACATAAAAAGAAAAAATAATATTTTAATTAATAAATTATTGAGAATACTTTACATATTATTCCAAATAATAATTATATTTAATTTTTCTATTACATTTCAATGTAATAAATTTTTTTTAAAAAAAAACTCTAATAAATCATAATTAACCATGCTTGGGGGTTACAGAGCACTGTCAATGGGGGTAACGTGGCAAAAGCAGACAAATCCAGTCCCCTGCTGCAAACGTGCATAAATCAATTCCACCACGTGGCTTATAGTACCATTTAATTTTCCCGTTCTCTAAAAATGTGAAAAAAAAAAGAATTCCAAACCTTAATTACAGCAAATTCAATGAACTTTTACAAACAAATGCACAATTCTGTGGGTGGCTGCATCAGAGCCAGGAATACAGAAGAGGAAAAATTGCAAGCGTAACAAAAAAGGAACAAAGAAGACAAAGAATTACAGTTACCTGAAATCAGGAAGTATATCCTGTCAAGAAAATTTTGATTGGTGTCTCTTTTCTCACATTTGTCTACCCCTTACCAAACCGGTACCCGTAAGCATTATTTGGCATTTTTCCAAGTGCTATGGCTGGCTTTTTTTCATTTACTCTTTCTACGAGGCATAATGGCTGGCTTTGTGGCCACTCCCACTGGGACCAGTTGGTCGAGGAGGCATTTGGGCCATTATTCCCGACTTCTGCAGTGGTTTCAGAGCAGCCATTATCTCCGCAAAGGTAGGTCGCAATTTTGGATCTCTACATCATTCAAATGATTCAAAAACATCAGATGCCATGTCCAGTTATCAGATAAATTCCACATATACAAGTATGCATTTATATTCTTCTTTAGAACCACAGGAAGTTGGCCCACAAAGGGTCATCGTAAAGGGTGAATTGGTGTTCAACCCATTTCTGTGCAAATGCAAAATGAATGTAATAGATGCAAGAAAATTGAGTGCAGAATAAAAACCAGAGGAAGTGCAGAGAAAACAGCATAAACTAACATGACGGTGTTGAAACTAAGTGCTAGGAGATCTATTGGCAAACAACCAGAGCAGACATTAATGATCTCTAATTTCACGGTGCTACAAGACTTTTATGACAAACTCTTTCCTGAGGAAAGTACATAATAATCCATCTACAAAACATGCATAGTTTGTGATAATGTTATTCAGCCCTTTGATTGTTGATAAGGCAGAAAAAGATGAAATATCAGATTTCAGATTTCACAAATAATACTACCAGAATATACACTTCCACATCTCTCTTGTGGGTCTAGACTATGGAAAACTCCAGCTGTTGCATCATGAAGAAACAGTTTCAAGAATACGCACAGGTGCTCACATAAGAAACAACTAGGTATGTACTTTGAATAAGAAAAACCAAAATCTTGAGCAAAACCAAGCATAAAACATGTAAACACTAAGAACGTAACAAATAGTATACTCATCTCTGTGCCTCAGTCCACAGAGACATGTATTTAAGAGGAATACTAGCAGCAAGCTTATATCAAACAGTAGTAGTCTAGTAGATATGAATCATATAATCCATAAACCAAATCCATTGCTATGTTAAGAGATATAATTAGCAGCACAGAAAAAATATTCTTAAATTGGGCTTTTTATGGGGGGGGTTTAAGCGGGTGCTTAGCAAATCCATATTGAATTGTGAACAAGTCAACATCCGCATTGATAATTGTTTTGTAAGATTTGAAATATTTGGAGGAAAAAATTAACTAATTCATAAGAAGGTCTCTGAAAGTTGTATCAGTGTTGTTCTAAGAAAAACTTCTAGTGTGTTTTTCAGTCGCTTATCAACCAGTGCTTCATCTTAAAATTAAGTAGGAATAAGTTAAACAGATGGCCCTATTTGAGTAGGTCCATTTATAAAAACAATTATCTTTATCAACTTCTCAACTAGTCTCCTTATAAAAGTGGCAATTATTATTATTATTATTATTTTGGTGGAGGGGCTGGGCATTTCCCCAATTTCAGCACCTTCAGTAACACCAGGTTGGCCTTTGTCACAGCACATCATCATACATATACCTCTTCAATTAAATCTGCTTTCATTTGAGAAGATCTTTCATACAACACTATATCTGACTAGAACTTAGAACTCTCCCATATCTTGGGTGTTTTCAAAGGCATATACATAATTGTATCCTGGAAAACCATTAAATGGGACTTGTGAACTGGTAGTGTCATTTTAGCTTATTGAGAATCACTTTTTCCATCTCATTGCTTAGGCTTGACGAACAGCTTGAAGGGATCAACCATCAATGCAATATCTCCAGAGCAAAGCAGTATATCTTTCCAAATAAAACCTTGTTAGTGAGCAAAAAATCACAGTCCAAGTGCAGTTTACTGGTTATATCTAGCAATACAAATGATGTTTTGTTCTCTCTACTTTGATGTTATAATATACTCAGATGATTAAATATCATAATTCATGTCAATTACATTCTCATTGGCCCATGATTTCCTCTACTAGAATATCAATATTAAATATCA